AATACCCACTTGGTCAGACGCATTGGATTCTTATGCTCCAATACGTCTGTTTGTCTATAAGGTGCCACAGGACTCTCTGTCGCTTTTTACAGATCCAGACTAACACCGCTACCCCTCTGATACAGGTCTCAATAGTGTTCACTTGTATACTGAGAAGAGCAATTTCTTCCACAGCAGGAATGACAGGATGAAATTCTCTGGCCTGTGTTATACAGGAGCTCAGACTAAATAACTTGTGGCAGAACTAGAGCATTTCTCTTAGGAAGATGTGCACTGTCTGTTTAAAGACTCCTACGATAGTGAATTTAGCACTTTCTTTGGTAAGTTGTTCCAGTGTTTAATTACCTTCACTGCTAAAAGACTGAGTCTTATTTCCGATTTGAATGTTTCTAGCTGCAGCTTCCAGCCATTGGACCTTGTTCTGTCTCTGCTAGCCTAAAGATAGCCTTAATGTCAGATAGCTTCTTGCTGTGTAAGTACTCAGGGCAGATTTTAAAAAATATTTAGGATTTCAATGGGAATAAAGTGTCTAGGTGCGTCTGAAAATCCCACTAGGCGATTATCTGAATCTTTAGGTGCCTAAATATGTTTGTAAATCTGGCTTTTAGCGACGGTGAACGTATCACCTTGCGACAACGGATGCTATGGAGTCATCACCAGTTTCATGAGCTATGTACATATTTATTCCTTCTTCTGAAAATCAACATCTGCAAAAGGAACTTTTGTTTCCATCACTGGAATTAAATAAGGAATAAGTTCTCTCCACTGTAGAAACCCTAAAAATCCATGAAGGAGGAAGAAACCCAGGCATACAGAGAAACTGATTCTCCTGGGAAAGTGACCTTAGATTAGATATCAGGGAAAGGCCTTCTAAAGGCCCTTAATACTGGGAAAAGAATGTGAGATCAAACCCAGCAAAATATCCTTAGCACAACTGTAATGGCAGCTGATAAGGCCAAACACGAGCTGTGAGAAAAGAGCAGAAAATGAAGGTGACTGGAAATATTGCCCCTCGCCCTCCCTGACTTCTAACCTTTCAAATGCCTTTAACCCTCTTTCCCTCCCATTCCCTCCTCAAATTCCATAGTCATCTGGTTTGTGTTCTTCCCCATGAGAAGGACCTCTCTCTGATGAGATAACCTTACTCCCAGTCTAGTGGGAGAGGCTGCTGCCAGTTTAAACCATGTTTTCTAGTGGGAAGAAGCAGATCTGGCTAAGCACCGGTCACATGCCCCCTCTCCACTTGGCCAGTCACCAACCCTGTCACAGACCGGACACATGTTGGCATTGAAACCCAGCCACGCACTTCGTCTTTGCTCAAAGAGATTGCATGGCTAATTAAGGTGGAGCCACATTCCTCATCAGAGTATCGGTGGTGGCCATGCTGTCATCCCTGTGTATTTACTTCATCGAGCAACAAGTTTCTTAGGGCAATGACAGCTTCAATATGCCACTTGGTTATTGCTCAGAAGAAAATACACATCAGCTGGGTATCTCAATAAAACTGGGGAAAAAACGACCTTTCACAGACAAAGGTTTCAAGTAGAGGAATTTTCCTACTCAGCACATTAACCCTATTGATGGATTTGCCTATAAAATTCCATATCTGTGGGAGCTGGGAAAAAACCAGTACAAATGATTTGTATAGATGCAAAAATGCAATTCCTAATGAATCCTCATGAAAGAGGCAGTGCTGTCAGGGACTGATGGCCTCTGTTTACTCCCAGAATTGTCCCAGCACATATTCATAACTGTGACTATCTACATGGTTAGTTGTGTGATGTAAATAAACAGAAAGAGGATTAAGTATGCATTGGTCACAATGAAACTCATGGCAGAATTTGATCACTCCAGGGCAAAGGTCCTCAGCTACTGTCCCAAGGAGGCGAAAATCCCCATCCTTAAGCTAATGGTCAGAACACTGGACACAGAACTCAGCGCTGCGTCTCTCCACTCACAAGGCACACAAACAGCCCACACTCCAGTGCTCACACACATCCTTCATTTACACCCAACACCAACACCAAAGCAACAGTTTAAGAGAAATGTCTCTTTCCAGTCAATTCAACTTTGGAAGCAACAATTCCCACAACTTGCTTAAAGTAGCCCTAGAAAATTGCACTGTTCCCTATAACTTCTGGGAATAAAATCCAAATGTTTCAACACCTTTGCATTGAAAATTAGGGTTAGCTTCTCCAACTCTCTCTGTAACAGACATTTTAAGACCATATTTGTAAATCAAAGTTTGGAAATGTATCAACGAAAAAATAAATACGCTTAAATAAATGCCAGACTTACTCTGAGAGAATAGATGAGAGCAGCTATTCCAAGTGGGAGGCAGCAACACAACAAGTTAAAGATCGACAGGGCAAGGTAAGTAGGGACATTTCTTTGAGTTGTCTCCATCTTCAGAAGCTTCCTGTTTAAATTCTCTATTGCTGAAGCTAGGAAGGCTTTGAAGAATAGTAACACTGCTTCCTCTGTTAAATCTTGCAATGGGGAGGGGGGAGTAACCAAGGGAAACACTGCTGAGCAAAGCATGCACTTGCGTGCATGGTTTACAGACTCCTTTCCCAATCCCATCCCATAAACTACTGGCTGCGTTTGTAACCAAGCTACACACCTGTTTCAAATTAAATTTCTGTGATGAATCTAGTAGGATTTTCAGACTAGAATTCTGTATGGGGGGGTGCGACTGGACTGCTAATAAACGCTTGATAGTGTAAACCAGAATGCTGTTCTTGAGGAGTGGGCAATTCAGCTTCCAGCTGTCTTATGATATAAAAAAGTAGAGCTGCTCAGAAAAACTTCAGCTGAGCCATTCTCCATCAGAGACGGCAGTGCCATCAGAAAGGAAACACTTCTCAAAATGCCTATTTCACAGACATTTCATTTTGGAGAAAACCTGGGGGAAGGAGGGGGAAGTTGTCCCATTTCAACATTTGTAGAACAAAATACTTTTAGCTTCCATTTCAATATTTTTTGTTGTTTTGTATTATAAGATAGAGCAGGGGTCGGCAACCTTTCATAAGTGGTGTGCCGAGTCTCCATTTATTCACTCTAATTTAAGGTTTGCGTGCCAGTCATACATTTTAAAGTTTTTAGAAGGTCTCTTTCTATAAGTCTGTAATATATAACTAAACTATTGTTGTATGTAAAGTAAATGAGGTTTTTAAAATGTTTAAGAGGCTTCATTTAAAATGAAATTAAAATGCAGAGCCCCCCTGACCGGGGGCCAGGACCTGGGCAGTGTGAGTGCCACTGAAAAGCAGCTCGTGTGCCGCGTTCGGCACGCATGCCATAGGTTGCCTACCCCTGAGATAGATTACACCGCTCTACAGCCAAAATGCTTCTGAAATAAATGTAGTCAAACTTTACTAATTCTGGGTCACTGAGAACG